CTGAAATTTGCAAATTTACCTCTAAATTAGGCCACTGAAGCAGTTCCTCAGCCAGCATACGCAAAGCGGCTCGATTTTCTGGGATTTGACCTTCATTCACCTAATATATATATACAAATCCATATCAAACCACTTAAATTTGCATGTCAATGAGTTCCTCTAATATAAAGATGAACTTCATAAAGCGTCATCTTTTTCATCAAAATGCACCAAACGATGCACTAAACAAAAAGCTTCAACTGATGCAGTAAATGAGAGGCTTTTTGCAGTAATACTTTGAGCTTAACCATCGGTTGATTAGTACAAGATACAGCTTATGAACAAACATGGGGATATTGATGAAAGAATACAAGGAAGCAACTAGAACTGAATTAACTTGTACTAAAGCATCGGCTAGGTCATCCCTGGTAGGAGCATCTTCATCATCAATGCCCAGCATACACCGCCGCTCCACATCTCTAGGATCTTCTATCATTATGGTCAACTTGACCTACAAAAGATTGTAAATTTTTCATGTCACGCCACATAAATAGGTCTAAATAACGCGTAGCAACTCCCAAGTGCGTTTAGTAACCAAGGAGAAGTGACAACAATTAAGAAACATAAAAAAAAAAAAGACAACCTCATTGAAGAACATATCTCTGTTTTTCCTAAGGAGCTCCAAAACCTAAAAGGAAAAAACAAAGAATGAAATTATAAAAGAAGATAATAGGATTATAAACTTGTCAAAGGCTGTGAGCTAGAAACCCTTTTAATTTGTGCGACATATTCGAGGTCCTGAGGATCTTGGTCATTGTCTGCTTCAGCTTCTTCTTGGGTAGGTGTAGAAGTGAAACTGGGAGCTGAAGTTGAGGGCGCCTCCCCTTTATTAACCAATACCAAGCCTGAGGTGCGGCCCTTTATATGCCTCCGGCCATGAACGTTTAAACGTGGGGATGAACAACGGCGGAGGTGGACCAACGACGAGATCGCTACCGGGTGCGGCTGTAACAAGCCGGAAACCCCCATCGCCGTCTCAATCCGACTAGGAAATGCCTGCTCCGGCGAACGAGGCTTCGTTTGTCGATCTTACTACTTCTTTGGTTGATCGGAAAATGGAGATTTACTAAACTAGCTGAATTTCAGTCCACGATAAGAGACGCCTATTCTATTCTAGTGGCTGTTATCCCCTTCTCATGATACAACATTCTATTTTAGGCTAATTTGGTTTTGCACCTTAAAAATAGACAGATTTGCACATTCTACCCCTTTCTTTTGGGAAATTGACATAATGCAATTTGACAGGTTGACAATATTAACTCTTTTTTCTATTTTACAGTTACCAAATTTTATATAAAAAAGAAATCTCATGTTTTAAATTATTATATATTTTATGTAATTTAACTTTCTGAAATTTCGGGAGAATACAAAATTCGCGCTTATACTAAAATCAATGTACATTCATGTAAATTTGCGGAAGCGAATATTTAAAAACGAACTTTCAGAAGAGCATCGCACTCTCCCTCATAACTTTTTCATTAACGAAGTGTTTGGCTAACAAGTACAAATAGAATTTACTCGCATAAACTCCTTCTAGCTAACCTACTTTGTACCTCACCTATCTAACTACTTTTCTGGCTAAGGCGTGGACTTACGCTGCATGTATGGATCACTACAAGCAGTATGAAGATGCTCGTCCCAAGAACCAAGTAGAAAATAAAAACAGACAGCTCAAATTACCAGCGATGAACCAACATGCTTGAATCCGATCACTCTATAAAATCTAAACAAAAACTCACGAGCTCTCAATGAATAAAAATCTAAACTCTCTAAAAGAAATGATGGAGTGGCTCGTTATCTACCAGAACTCGTGAAACGAATATATATACAACTATATACGGTATGCAGGTTCATAAAAAATCTGGAGTTTCTAAATTTACTCGATCTTCTCGTTCAGCTTTAGAAACTAAATCTCCATGGCTTGTATGTCTTCATGCACGAATATCTTGCCCAAATCTTCCAAATTTAACCGTGTTTCTCTCTCTTCAATCTTGTGAACTTTCTTTACTTATTTACATGTGCACCTTCGGAAATATCTTCTTGCCCGATTTCTTTCTTTTCCTTGCTCGATTTCCAGCTCTCTTCCTCAAGATTCAGCTCTCAAATCTCACAAGAATATTTTCCTTTTATCATCTTTGCTCTTCCTCTTCCTACAAGTAAAAGAAGACAATTAAATAAATACCATAACATGTAGCAAGAGAATACCAAAATAAGGAAAGAGAATATTTATAAAACCTCCTAATGAATCTAATATCTTTCCTTTACCTGTAAGCTAAAAGAAGATAATTAAATCCAAATACAAAATAGGAGAATAACTAAGATATGGGAAGTTAAGATGAGAACATCTTCCCTTTCTCTTCAAGCATTAATTCCATGTTACCTATTTCAAGAAACACAAATATGATAAATAAATAATATTTTTGATTAATGTCAAATTATATTTTCTTATAACTTCTAATGCAAAATTTTATAATAATTTAGAATAATACTCTCTCCATTTAGTATTGAACTAGTATGAGTCCCGTGGAGTGCACGGGTAAGAGATATTAATTATTATTTATAAATTAAAAATTCTTAATAAATAATATTATAAACTAAAAATATGTAATCAATATGTAATTCAATATATTAATTTATTGAAAATGTTATATAACGTTTAAATTGTGAAAACATTACATAAAAATGTCTATCTAAAATTAGTATACAACTCATGCGGTGTACATAACCGATAATAAATTGCATTATATTCGTTTCAAAATAAGTATCATTTCAAAACTTATGTTAATAATAAGTATATATATAAAATTTCTATTGTTTCATTACTTAAAATAATTTGTTATTGTATAAACTATTCAAATAAAAAAATTAAGTAGTTGAGTAATTTATTAAACTATAAATAATTACGTCCAAGTTAATATCGACCCGTAAGTTATTAAGTAATTTATTAAATTATAAATAACTGACTATCTCATTTACGTCCAAGTTAATATTGACCCGTAAGTTATGAATAATTATTTTTTATTTTTAAATTTAAATAATAATCTTTATATTTTTTTCAATATATTATATACCAAATTTAAACCATGCAACTAATAAAGGTAATAGCTGCAAGTTTGTCAATATATTATATTCGAAATTTAAATTATGTAACTAATAAAGGTAATAGCCACAATATTTGACCAAAATGATTATGTACATTAATTTAGGCTGAATTTTTCAAATTTTGGCCAAAAATATTACTGACATTCATTATATTTTCATGCATTATGAGTGATATATTGTGATATTTAGCCGTGTTTATCGTGAGATTGTGCACCATTTTGTTTTATTTATTAATCTATGATAGAGGTACATTTGACGTTGGTTTTGCAGGAAATATGCCCGAAAAAGCGTTAAAATGGAATCGGAACGAAAAACGGCCAAAACGAGGTGCAGTTGAGGACACACGACTCGTGTGGGTAGTAACACGAGTCGTGTGGACTGGGAAAAGAGAGAGTTTTGTTACGGCTTTTTTCACACGGATCGTGTGGCTTGTCACACGGGTCGTGTGGCCTCACACGAGTCGTGTGATCCGGTCGTGTGCGGGGTCGTGTGAGTCTGGGAGTTTGGCGAAAATTGGAGAAACGTCACACGACTCGTGTGAGTAAGTATGAGTCGTGTGACGCGCAGATCAGTTCAACGAGGACTAGGATTCTAGTGCAATTTCTTCTCTTTTTCAATCCATATTCGGCCTACACTATAAAAGGGATTTGGAGAACTCGGTTTTGAAACTTTTTACACCTTTGGAGGCCTAGAAAGTACGAAACTCACAAGGAATTCAAGGAAGTGAAGATTGAAGATTTGGGAACTAACTGCGACAATAGTTCTTATTTGTTTTCTCTTTTTTCTTCTTCATTGAACTCATGGATTTATTTATTTTGAGTTTTGAGAATATGTTTAGTAGCTAAACCTTTTTGAGATTCTAGGATTTGTGAGTACTCGGATTATTTTATCAAGTGATTATATTTATTCATTCCGATTTATCTTTCGTTTATTGATTTGTTGTGCTTATATTAATTTTGTGAATATAGGGCCCGTTTTATGCATATTTTTTATTGACTTGAGACCGAGAGGAGATAGTTGATTTCTAGAATTGAGAAATTCATAACGTAGGAGACTAAACAGACCGAGAGGTTGATAAAATCTTGCGAGGGAACTGAAATCGTAGGAACTTATTGGAGTTAGTTGTTCATCCTGAGACCGAGAGGAGATAGATAACAATTAATATCTACGATTGAACTTGTTCGAGAAAAAGGTTGAAATTATTTTAGTGATTATCCCTACGATTGGTAGAAATAAATAAGGTTTGTATGAATAAGAAACCTTTGCTAGAATAACCCCGAGGAAAACTTAGCCTAGAATCTATTTTTTCATTCTTGATTTATTTTAGAACAAACCTTCAATAGTGTTAGAATTTACTTTGCTATCATTCATTAATTTAGGATTAATTCACCCTTCCAATTTGAGTTAGTCTAAATAATATTTAATCGTCTACATTTTAGTACTTAATTATTTAAGCAACAATCTCTGTAGAATACAACTTTGCTCGCAGCTTACTATAGCTACACCGTACACTTGCGGGTAGTGAAAATATTTTGCGAACAATTACTCAATATAGTAAATACTTTAGGCGAGAAACCAAATATTTTTTTTGCTGATTTTTAGTTGATATTTCAAGTAAATATGATTAACTTTTTATATATTAATAGATAGATGTTGCATTTTTTATTTCTAATTAGCTATCACTTTGTACTATTATTCAAATTATGTAGTATATTTAATGAATGATAATATAATAATCAATTTTTTTAAAAAATATAGAAAAAAATTAAAGCATGAAAAGAGAAAAAATTATTATTAATATATAGTATATTAATATGTAATTTAAGGAAATATGATATAAATTAATATTAGGTAAACTATGAAATTTTAATTACCATACCTTTTTATAAAACAAGATTTACTTATAACTGTGGAAGTAATTAAAGTGTAGCATGATAGAAAACTAGTAAAGTAATGATTAATAGTTATAATATATGCGCTGATGAATATTGTACTTATATATAAATATATAATAATAATTTATTGTAATTTAAAAATTATATTAAAATGAGTAAGTAACAAAAAGAAAATGTAAAATAAAATTTATTTTTGTAACTGATAGGTGAAGGAATGGAAATTATATTAGTGTTTTTATTTTCAGTTTCTTCGGTCATGTTGGGAAAGTCCACAAGTTATAACTAAAAGTCTAATAAAACGCAAAACAATATTAGTGCCACGGTTTCATCATGGCATTTATTTGTAGAAAAACTATGGGCCATGAGTCTGCTCCAATTTATAAAAAGATCCGGTCTGACAAACAAATTATGGGCTTCACCTCTTCTGCAAACTGGATTTTCTCAATTCCTCTTCGTGCTCTATCCTACTAGCATGTCATTTTCTCGCCTGATTCGAGTCACCCTGTGTTGGACATCATGTGAATTACTTCCTTCTTCTACAGTTGTTCAGGGCTTTTCTCGATCTTCTCAACTTCTCTTGTCGTCCTTTTTTTTCTTTATATCTCTATCTTTATAGGCGAACTCCTTCAAGTGACCGGCTCGGATCAGTCTTTCAATCTCATCATTCAGCTTTTTGCAGTTATTCATTGTGTGTCCGTAGTCCATATGGTATCTGTAGACTGTAGTAAGCCTCCGGACGAGGTGTTGGCTCTACTACCCTTCTTAGGATAGGTCTAAGCCGATCTAGCAATCTGAGGGCGCATTTCCTTCTATTAGCTCGATGATTTGACTTATGATATTAATGTATTTAGCACAACGCTCCAACAATTCATCGTAAGACCTAGCAGATTGTTTGATAATGAATTATGAAAGGGACCGGATCGCAATTCCCTAGTCAGACCTCTCGTTGTCACCTCCTCCGATGTTTATGACACGTTCACACGCTCCTTGGTGTAATGAGCCATATATTCTTTCAAAGATTCTTTTTCCCATTGTTGCATGTTGATGAGCATAAGGAAATTTTCTCATGCTTACTCGCACTAGAGAACTGAGTAATAAACATCAAGTTGAATCTTCGAAAATCCTAGATGAATCCCGTCGAGAGTTCGTGAAACCAGTCCTATGCAGGTCCCTTCAGAATAGCTAAAAGCGCTCGATAACATATCAGATTGTTGTACTAATGTAAAATAACCATGTTTTCAAAAGTCCTAAGATGGTAGGATAAGCCCGGTTCCCAAAACCAATATGACAACTCTGCATCTAGCACCTCGTTTGAGAAGGGATGCCCTTATAGCCATGAATCTCAATGTCCATTAGTTTTTTCTTGTAGCTCGTAGAGTTGTGTCATTATTCACTCTAGAGTTGGATCTCTCGTTGCTAGTGAAGCGACACTCGAGGAATAATGGAACACTTTGGTTCCTCGTCACTCTTTCTTCCTGCAAGAGCTTGATTTATGGGACGGAGCATTGCTTCTAATGAGGCAAGAGTATGCTGGGTTTGTTGCCATCGCATCTGCAATCATCTTCTCTAACTCTGCCTGAGCTATGGAAGGATTAACCCGAGCTTCCCCACTTGTTTTCCCCATTTCTCATATGCGAGATGTTATGTCTTTGTCACCTTTGTCGGTCTTTGTCCCCCTTGGGAATCCCAACTGCAAGCAAGGTTACGTCACTGCCCTAGTATTTGGAGTTAACTCTTTTGAAACTTGGTCGGTGTGTCATTTGAAAGTGAAACACCTCGATGGTGCGTGACATTTTTCCACCATCTTTCCATCCCTGGGGTGGATCAAACCCATAGGTGCTTTGCCAGCCCAGTGTCGTCGTAACTACGTCCTATGTTATTTCCCTCCTTATCGCCATTGATGTTGGTGCCTTTTATTTTTCTTTGTAAGAAACATAATCTTGCTTAGCCTTTGTAGAACGAGACTTTCCACAAACAATGCCAATTTGGTGGAGATCTATCAAATAAATCCAGTTTCGGTGAGCGGATCTCTTTGGATCTTCCTTGATTTCCTTGCCTGAAGACTTGAAAAAGTGTCAAGAGAGTTCTCGGCGTGGAGCCTCCGAAAATCAAGTTAGTCCATCGCAAGTAATATAAGTCTTGTGTTAATGTGTAATAATCTACTTGCAACAATTTTATCTCCTTTATATATGACGATTACGTTGTCCTCCAAGTACTTAAGGAAACAAGATATTCCTGAATTCTCCCAAAATCTCTTGTCATATCTTCATATTCTCAGGATCTTCCCAATTCTATCCATATTGACATCTCTTGCTCAATGCCTCTTTTGAAGCTCGCTATCTCAAGCTAGACACACCCTCATCATGCCTCAGACAAGGGTCGCTCGCTTCGACCTCAAGTGACTAGGAACCCAGGGTAGCCCCTCCGACTTATCAAGTCAGCATCGAGCTTGAGGAACTCCAGTTCGGAACCGAGCTATAAGAGCCCTGGTTCAACAGTGAAATCTCAATGCCATATCAGTAACTAAATGGTCTAATAAATTGCAAAAATAACTGTGGCTATTTGTGCCATATCAGTTTGGAACAAATAGATTTTTAATCAAAATTTGCTTAACGGCGAGGCAAGGCCATTGGAGGTTGTGAATCTGACTGAAAGCTATGGCCGTGCAGCGGGTTGGATTAAAGTGAACACTTACGGTGCATTCGACAATCTCACGGGCTTGAGTTGTGCGGGCGGTCTACTCCGAGATGACATGGGAAGATGGATCGAGGGCTTTCTCTTCAATATTGGCTTTTGCACCATTACGGGTGCAGAACTCTGGGGTCTTTTTCAGTGGTTGCAGTTGGCTTGGGACATGGGATATCGACAAGTTATTGCAGAGGTTGATAGCCAATGCGCGACGAAAATGGTACTTGGTTCTGAAGGATCCCCTGGAACTCATGAAGCACTAATAAAGGCTATTCGTAGTATGGTCCGAAGAGAGTAGAATATTAGGGTCCAACACGTGCACAGGGAAACAAATTTTGCTGCCGATGGCGAGTTTGGCGGCGTCCTGCCCGATTGATTTGCAGCGAGTATCCTCTCCTCCTTCAGGTATGGGAGCGTGACTCAAACACGATATTATTGGAGTGTCGTATCCCCGTTGAGTTCTAGTTACCAAACCATGCCTTCTACCTCCTTCATTAAAAAAAAAAAAAAAAAAAATGTAGAAAAACCATGGGCAATGAGTAAAATACATTATAAGTTCTTATTGTTTGCTCCATCCCATTGAAAAAAGAAATAGGTCAAACAAGCAAACAAATCATGGTCGGATGTTTATTTGTTATGAGACACACCTTATCGTAAGTTCTGCAAATCCAACTCCTCCTTATCCCTCTGCCTTTTCCCCCAACAATCTGCTCACCGGCGATGCTGACTCCGGCGCTTGCGCCGCCGTCTTCTTCTTCTTCTTCTACGCCCACAGCTTTCCCTTTCTCCCATTCATTCACAGCCCGATCTGCCCCCGCCTTCTTCACCTTAATTTTTCCCTTTCGAGCTTTAAATGCTAATAGACGGGAAAGCTCAACTCTTCGACTCCAAGCAGCAGCAGCATCTCCTTCTTCTTCTCCGTCTTCCGCTCCAATGATTGAAAAGGAAACACCTGAGTCGGAGAAGCCCCCTACTTTCCTTCGAGAGGCGGATGAGAATGCTTCTGATTCCTCCAAATCCGTCCGATCAAGGTTTGAGAAAATGATTAGGGAGGCGCAGGACTCTGTCTGCTCCGCCATTGAGGCCGCCGACGGAGGTGGCCAGTTTAAGGAAGACGTGTGGTCCAGACCCGGAGGGGGTGGCGGCATCAGCAGGGTTTTGCAGGATGGCGCTGTTTGGGAGAAAGCTGGTGTCAATGTCTCTGTCGTCTATGGAGTAATGCCTCCCGAGGCTTACAGAGCAGCTAAACCAACTGAAAATGGAAGCGTCAAACCCGGCCCTGTTCCCTTCTTCGCTGCTGGCATCAGCTCCGTAATCAATCTCCCACCCATCTTACTAGCCATTTTTATGATGATTTATTATTATGTTGATTCACTTGTCTTAATTAACCATGGCAAGCGCATTGCAACATTCTTCTTCATTTTGCTAAAAAAAGTTTGCTTATGAGCTTTAAAGGAAATTTACATCTCTGTGTTCTATATCCTTATTTGCCTACTCCCTTTCTCTCTCTGTGAAATAGTCGTGTCTTGCTTTATGAAATAGCCACAGATGTTTAATTCCACTTTACGCATCCGTTGAATTAAGATTCAGTGAAAGCAGAACATTTTGAGTTGGTGACGTTAACTTTATGGCAAATGTATCAGCTCTGTATAAGTTTCAATGCCTGACAACGGGATTATGTGATTTACAAACTCAAGATCAGTACGAATCTTGTTGAAGTTATGCTAAAGTAATAGATGTGAATGGTATTTATTTATTTAATAATTTTGTCCTTTGTGCTGGAAGCGTGGTTCTTAATGGGTTGTGTCTTATCTTGTTCGCCAGGTTCTTCATCCTAAGAATCCATTTGCTCCAACGTTGCATTTTAATTACCGCTATTTTGAGACTGATGCTCCAAAAGGTATCATTTACATTGTATCATTATTTGTAAAGGTCAGTTATTTGGAGTAAAAAACCCGTGTTCCAATAATGATTTCAGCATCTGAAATAAAGCCTTGCAATTTGATTTGAATTTCAGTATTCTTTTATTTATTTGCATCTTGATTTCATAACCAGTGAACATTACGAACTATTTAAAATATTGTCGCAATTATGGTTTTTAATGCTCCTTCCAATTTCCATTAATAGAAGTTACCCGTGTATTATGTACAAACAGGATAATACATCTGCAACTATTGACATGGTTAATATGTTTCCAAATGTTCCATATTTATGACGCTTCCAGTGAATTAACTAAATTACGTGGGCCGAAGTGGAATTAAGTAGTTAAATTTTTTTTGCTTGAACTCATTTCCTATTGTTGAAGCCACACGCTGTAAAGTTACCCTTATCTGAAAAACTGGAGATAAATGTAGTGAACCTTACGACTCAGGAGCAGACAAGTTACTTGATAAGGGAATTTGTATATGGTATAGAAGATAGGCCAGTAAAGGCCTGGTTTGCTCTTGATAAAAACAAAAAAATTTTATCATAATGGATGGCAGTTGGTAGTTAAAATATAATTGCATAATAAAATCTTGAAGGCTGGTTCCTTCTAGAAGTTAGATTGAGAAAACCTGGAATTATAGACATTGAGAATCTAATGTTCCCACTTCTCGAATATCTGATTGGTTATTCATAGGTAACACGAATTTTGTTGTGCTTTGGACCCGCATGCTGGGATATCACTAATGCCACTCTGATATTAAAAGTACATATTGTTGACATTGACTGATGAAAGCTTATCCAAGGATTATAATTCATACTTTAGTGGAATAGTTGGGATCACAGAGAAGGACAGAAATCCCTTTCAGTTTGACATATTGGGTGGCTGATCACCGATCGGGCTTGGGAGTTGGCCTTCTTTTGAGATTGCAGATAAAAATATGCATCCTTTATCTTGCTCTTTGTTTTTGGAGTATCATAAATTTACAACAAATCTTGTATAACTGTTGCTCGTATTCAATTTCTGCCAGATACTTCAGGAGCCCCAAGGCAATGGTGGTTTGGTGGAGGTACTGATTTGACTCCTGCTTACATTTTTGAGGAGGACGTGAAGCATTTCCATCTGGTATGAATGTCCTTAATTTTAACACTGCACAGCGTGAGTATCAGCATTCAGAATATTCTTATCAGGCTGTCAGCATTTGTGGTGTAGATAGAGATCAGCATTATTCATATTGCATTGTTACATCATGCCATGTCAATAATAAATATTAAAGCAGATGTCATGTTTGAGTTCTTATATATGTTACACTTTTTTTTCCTTACGTTGTGGCATTTTTCATTTTTAATGGTCTTGGTTTTTCACTTTCCAGAGGAAAGGGCGAAGCGATCACTCACTGGGAGAACCAGCGAATACTCACTGTTTATTGTTTTGTGTACGTTGTAGGTCCAGAAAGGTGCTTGCGACAAGTTCGATAGTGATTTCTATCCTCGATTCAAGAAATGGTGTGATGATTATTTCTATATCAAGGTATGACTTCTATGAACTGCTACTTTTGCATATGATGATTGCAGATGAACTAGCAAAAGCAGTCTCTGCTGTTTCAAAGAAAGAGACACTTTTTCAAATGTTCAAATAATGCTTTGTTCAGGATATGCTTGTAGATCAGTAGTTGAATTTTCAACTCAGGCTATAGACCTAGGATCATTTTCACCTGTCCCACCAGGATATTTGTTACATATCTATATTTGAATTACCATATTTTAGTTGTTATTATTTGGAGTTAGAATAGGGTGATGGGCTGGGTTTTGCCTAGGACCCTAGTTCGTTTTTATTTTAGTAGGATTTTAGGCCTCTTAATGCTTACGAGGTTCTCCTCCAGAAAGTTTGAAGAATGTAGCATACTCCAGAAAGTTTGAAGAATGTAGCATGAGTTTCGGCAATCTAGCCTTGGGGAGAAGTCTGTTTTGACCGGGAGAGTATTGTTATGTATCTATATTTGAATTATCTTTTTTAGTGTTTATTTAATAATGGCTAGATTAAGGTAATGGGCTGGCTTCGTAGGAACCCTAGTTTGTTTTTATTTAAGAAGTTGGGTCTACGTCTCGTAAGGCAAAAAGGAATAGAGGAGCCTTAAGGTTAGGCAGGAGAAATCGGTGTTCGCGCTTGGGGCGAACCTGCAGTTGTTCTTTGCCTTCCCTTTGTTAAGTTATCCAATCAATTTTCAGGCATTTGGCATACTGCCTTATAATGGCCATCATTTTGTTTTTCCCCTGAAATGTATATTCATTGAACCCTCGACATTTAATAAGCTTGACTATGCTCATATTCACTGTTCTAATGTTTTATGCAGCACCGAGGGGAGAGACGCGGTCTTGGGGGTATATTCTTCGACGATTTAAATGCCTATGATCAAGAGATGCTTCTTTCCTTTGCTACTGGTAATTTCATAGTCATGACTTACCAATGCGTAATCTATGACTCCGTTTCTTTTATGTACGAGCATAGGATGAACTGACTAAGTCAAACTCTATGGTTTTGGTAGAAGTTCATATTTGACCACATTGATTAGACATTGGCCTGTTATTGTGTATGAATGTAGGTTGAACATCGCTTTTGAGGACGAGTTCTGTACTAACCCATTTATTGTGGATCCAGAGCAGCCATTTTCATATTTTTTTCTTGGATGAGTTCTAACTAGTCATTTATCTCGTATCAAAGCGTCCACATTTGCTTGTCAGACACGATGTAGGGATCGGACCTGGTCCATTTGATTTGTCCCACATCGCGATGCTTGGATATAAAAATTTTTGGATTTGTTTGGATTTTTTGGTTTGGTTTGGTTAATTTTGAAAAAAGGTGGTATGGTTAGTTGTTAGTGGACATATTAAAATAATATTTAAAATAAAATAATTAAAGTTGATTTGACGTAAAAGTAGTAGAGAAATGATTTGAAGTGATTTTAGCTAAAATTATGTGAGTGGATGATAAGTGAATTAAAGTTGATTTGATGTGTAAGAAGGATTGGTTGATATTATTTAATTATATTGATAATTATAATGATAGTGGGGTTGAGTTAAAGTTAAGTTAAAAATAGTGATTGAGTTAAAAATGTTTGGACTGTTTTGAGAAGTTTTGCATCCAAGCATCCTCTAAAGTTACTGGGTGGTTGTTGTGTATGAATGTGTGTTGGGCATTGGAAGTTGTGTTTATCCCACATCGCTAAGTTACTAGGTTATTGGGTTATTGTGTATCATTGTGGGTAAAGGGCAGCCTATCTCTTTGAGCTAATTTTTTGGAATGCGTTCTAACCTAACCCATATAACAGTTTTTTCTTTTTTCTTTTTACCTATATCAATGACATGTTTTACATTTACATTCTTGTTGAAGACAAAAAATTGGGCAAGACTGTATATGGTGAAATTTTCATCAGATAGGTTCCAACTATTAGGTTTTCAATTTTTTTAAATAGTTGATGTTCTGTGTTTTTATATTTCAGTTCTTTTATTGTTTTATGGTTTCCAAATTTATTGGGGGTTTTTTAGGGTCTTTAGTTTTTCATTTGCTGTTTTTTCTTCTCAGTATAAGGTTTTAAGATTCAGATAGGTGAATTGGTGTACCAACTCTGCTGAATGATTGCAGAGTGTGCAAATTCTGTGATTCCAGCATATATACCCATCATTGAGAGGAGGAAGGATACGCCATTTACGGATAGACACAAGGCATGGCAGCAGCTACGCCGAGGACGTTATGTGGAATTCAACTTGGTAATATCTGACTTTCAGGAATAATAAGATGAGCCAGAGAAATAATGTTTTCTAATATTGTGCTGTTATAAATATAGGTTTATGATCGGGGAACAACATTTGGTCTCAAGACTGGTGGAAGGATTGAGAGTATACTTGTGTCACTGCCACTTACTGCCCGGTGGGAATATGACCATGTCAGTTTTCTAACAACTTGTTCTTTTGTGATCATCTTCTTTTATTTTCTTCTTTTTTCTTTTTGTGGGTTTTGTTTGGTGTCTTTTTACGTGAGACCGTTGTCAAGTAACCCACATAACACATTCTCTTTGCAGCAACCTGAAGAAGGAAGTGAAGAATGGAAGCTTTTGGATGCGTGTATCAATCCCAAGGAGTGGATCTGAGCTTTTCATGTACTTGCTTCGTTAGAATTCAAGCCTCCTTTTGGTTCTTCTTGTCCTCTTACTTTTGAATATTGTGTATTAGAACCTACTTACACAGTTTCTCTAAAGAGGTGATGAAGACGAGACCGCCATTGCGTATCTGAATAAATACGACCGTCTTCGGGTTTAATCGGTTTTAATGCCTTATTATTATTAGTACTATTTTATTTTATTTCCTTTAGGTATTTAGTACTTTGGGGTAGAATAATAATTATCTTGGGGCAAGATTGGGAAGTTTATTTTAATTTTCATTTATATGTTGTGAAAGACATTAGGGATGGGAGTTTTTTGACGATTGAAATATTTTTCTGCCTGAGAGAGTATCTCACTTTTTATTTGTTCTTGAGAGAGTATCTCAATTTTATTCCCGTTCGTACTACGTTCTACATCAGTTGGTATCTAGAGACCAGCAGCGATCCTCGACGCCGCCGAAGAAGGTTAACGACACCATGAACGATTCCAGAGGATGGAAGATCGATTTCAAGGTATGGATGATTGTTTCACAGACCTATCAACTGGAATGGAGGAATTGCAACAGGCGATGCGTACCATGATGACAGAAGTTCGAGCAAACCGCGACGTTGGTGACTGGGCCGCGCGCGGAGGGTATCGCGGAGGTCGGGGAGGTCGCGGCTTCGGTGGGGCGCCCCATCGACGTGGCCAACTGCCTCTGTTCGGCGAGGAGGATGACGAGGAGACGGCCAGTGCGAACAACCCATTCGCGACAGGGCAGCACCGTCGAACGGCGGGTGACGATCGCTTTGCTCAGACGAGGGGCGGCAGTGGTCGTGGGCCACTAGGGTTTGGTGGTGGCGGGAACCGCGAGCACGATTTGCGGCGCCTCCGCAGAGATGAAGCCTGGGAGGACGACAGCGACCAAGAGGGCGACGACGACTGGTGGAACTTTCGTGGTGGAGGGGAGGATCGTCGGGAGCGTTCGCCGCCGTGTGGGAGCGCGGTCTCAGATTTTGATGAGGATGAACCATTTCGCCGAGCCTGGGATGGTCGTGAGGGTGATTTTCATCAACGGGCTGCTTACGGCGAACGGGAGAGGGTTGTTCGAGGAGGTATGGACCGACGTGACGGCAGGCGTCCGATAGAATGGGGCGATGAGTCACGTTGGGATCAGGGGCTTCGCGTGGATATACCGGAGTTTGCTGGAGGGGTTGATGGGTTGGAGTTTATTGAATGGTGGGCGGCTGTGGAGGCCTTCTTTCGGTTTAAAGGGGTGCCGGAGGAGAAGCATGTTGCTTTCGTCGCAACTCGTTTTCGAGATAGGGCGGCGACATGGTGGATGCAGCTCACGAGTATGCGGCATCGACAAGGAAAATCGGAATTATCCTCTTGGATGAAGTTTCGCAAGTATGTAGAGCGTGAATTCGTGCCATTCAATTACGATAGTCTCGTGTACCAACAGTTACAGAATTTGCGCCAAGGATCTCGTTCGGTGGATGATTACACGAACGAGTTTTATCGTCTCCTGACACGGGTCGAGCTACGGGAGACCACGAATCAATTGGTGTCCCGATATGTTGGAGGGTTGCGGCCTTCGTTGTGGGATTCGCTAAATCTTTTTCGGCCAGAGTCCGTTTCAGATGCTCACCAACGGGCCATTCTCGCGGAGATTCAACTGGCACAGTTTTCGGGTCGTCCTTGCGACAAGGGGGTGTTTCGAGTGCCTCGGGATTCCAGTCGCGGCCCGTCGTCGCGGCGAGTGGTGGCGTGGTCCAGAGGGCAGCACCGGCGCGCACTTCGGGGAGTCGAGGAGTGGCGGGCCGTACTGGCGGGCTGCCGGAGTAGGCGGACAGCAGCCCTCCGCGGCGGCTGCACGTACGATCGTCGGCTTAAGGTGCTTCGGATGTGGGGAGATCGGTCACCGCCAGTCAGTTTGCCCAAAAGCGTTCGGGTCACGTGCATTGTTCGCAGACGATGGAAAAGACGGGGTCATTGGTGAGGATATGTGGGACCACCGGTTTATGATGTCGAACCGGAGGTGATGGAAGAATATGTGGCTGGGGATGTCGGGACTGCTTTGGTCATCCGTCGTATGTGTTTGGTGCCGCGAGGGGCGGGGGAAGCACCCGTGGAGAGGCATCATCTATTCGAGTCCACTTGCACGATCGGCAATAAGGTGTGTCGATTTATAATTGACTCGGGCTTGTGTGAGAATCTCGTGGCTCAAGAGGCGGTGGACAAATTACAGCTTTCTACTGAGCCTCATCCACATCCGTACACTCACGCATGGATACAGAAAGGTACGGCTTTAACTGTTAACCGTCGGGCACTCATTTCTTTTTCCATTGGTCCTACTTATCGTGACCAGGTGTGGTGCGATGTGGTCCCGATGGATGCATGCCATCTGTTATTGGGCCGCCCGTGGCAGTATGATAGGGCCGCCACTCATGACGGTCGTCTCAACACATATTCATTTGTTTTTGGGGGAACAAAGATTATCTTGCTCCCGAATGCACCTCGTTCTTTGCCACAGGCGCCTTCCACCTCTCCAGTTCTTGTTCTTTCACGGTCGGCCTTTGCAGCCAAAATACGTGATTCGCCGGTGGTGCTGTTACTCGTCGGGGTTGACGGGGGTGATGAGCGGACCCCGCCGGTGGCAATCCGCCCTTTATTGTTCGAGTTTGCCGATGTCTTTCCGGACGAGATTCCTTCGGGCTTGCCACCTCTTCGGGACATCCAGCATCACATTGACTTGGTCCCAGAAGCTTCTTTGTCGAATAGACCTCATTACCGGATGAGCCCGATAGAGCATGAGGAGTTACGCCGGCAGGTCGAGGAGCTACTCCAGCGTGGACGCCGGAGTTTGAGCCCATGCGCAGTGCCTGCACTTCTGATACCAAAGAAAGACAATTCATGGCGTATGTGCGTGGACAGCCGGGCAATCAACAAGATCACGGTCCGGTATCGTTTTTCCATTCCGAGGTTGGATGACTTGTTGGATCAGCTTCACGGTGCTACCATCTTCATGAAGCTTGATCTTCGTAGCGGTTATCACCAGATCCGGATCCGACCAGGAGATGAGTGGAAGACGGCCTTCAAGATTCGTGAGGGGCTTTTCGAGTGGATGGTGATGCCCTTCGGTTTGTCTAATGCACCAAGTACGTTTATGCAGGTGATGAACCAGGCGCTTCGGGAGTTCATTGGCCGGAGTGTCGTCGTTTATTTCGACGATATTCTTATATACAGCAGGACGATGGAAGAGCACTTAGAGCACGTTCGAGAGGTACTATTGGTGTTGCGGGCCGAGTCCTTTTTTGGTGCTCCTCGTAAGTGTTTCTTCTTGGTCGATTCTGTTTTATTTTTGGGTTTTGTGATTTCGGCTGAGGGTATTCATGTGGACGAGAGTAAGGTGGCCGCGATCCGTGAGTGGCCCACTCCTAAGGCATTCACGGAAGCACGTAGCTTTCACGGGCTCGCGTCCTTCTACCGCCGTTTCATTTCTCATTTTAGCACAATTAAGGCACCGATCCCTGAGTCGGCGCGCCCTTTTATTGACTGATATGGGAGTGGCTGTTATCGGGTTCGACGTCTTGCCGGAGGCCTATGCTGATGACTCGTTTTTTGGTCCGATCGTGCGCCGCCTCGCCGGAGGTCCTGTCGAGGACTACACGTTGCTTAAGGGTTTTCTATTTCGGGGTGTCCGGCTTTGTATCCCGGACTGTAGTCTTCGCCACAGGCTCATTGCGGATCTACATGGCGCCGACCACGTGGGGCGGGACCGCTCGGTTGCTCTGGTTAGTCGATCCTATTTCTGGCCGTCCCTTCAACGAGACGTGGGCCGGTTTGTCGAGAGGTGCCGCGTTTGTCATGTTTCGAAGGGGGTTGCATCGAATGCCGGCTTATATCGACCCCTTCCTATTCCCTTGCGTCCTTGGAGTGCGATTAATATGGATTTCGTCCTCGGCTTGCCGCGTACACAGCGAGGCTTCGACTCGATCTTTGTTGTTGTGGATCGGTTTTCGAAGATGGTGCACTTTATTCTGTGTAAGCGCACAACAGACGCGCTTCACGTAGCCCAGCTGTTCTTCCGGGAGATTTATCGTTTCCATGGACTCCCGTCTTCGATTGTTTTCGACCGCGACACTAGATTTTTGAGCCACTTCTAGCGGAGCCTTTGGCGCATGGCGAACACTCAGCTGGATTTCAGTAGTTCGTATCATCCACAGACGGATAGCTAGACGGAGGTCGTGAATCGCTCATTGGGCAATTTGCTTCGTTGTTTGGTTGGCGACAACCTTCGCAGTTGGGACCAGCATCTGAGCCAGGCCGAATTCGCGCATAATTCTGCGGTTAGTCGAGCCACTGGGTATTCACCTTTTGAGACAGTGTATGCGGTTCGTCCACGTGGTCCGTCTGATTTGCTTGCGTTGCCGGCCACGGCGTCGGTTGACCGTCAGGATGTCGACCTCATTGCCGATTTGCAGGCGACTCATGCGCAGGCCCGGGCCCGTTTGGAGGCCACGACGGCCGCCTACAAGCGGCATGCAGATGGTAAGAGGCGACACGTGGAGTTTGAGGTCAGTGACTATGTGTGGGCGGTGTTGACGAAGGACAGGTTCACGGCCCATGAGTATAACAAGCTGGCGGCTCGGAAGATTGGCCCGGTGGAAGTAGTTGAGAAGATAAATCCGAATGCTTATCGTCTCCGTCTGCCATCCCATATTTGCACGTCTGACGTTTTCAACGTCAAGCATTTGGTGCCGTTCGTTGGGGACAATTCTGAGGAAGACGAGACTTGTTTGGATTCGAGGCGGAATCCTCCTCAACCCGGGGAGGATGATGAAGACGAGACCGCCATTGCGTATCTGAATAAATACGATCGTCTTCGGGTTTAATTGGTTTTAATGCCTCGTTATTATTAGTACTATTTTATTTTATTTCCTTTAGGTATTTAGTACTTTGGGGTAGAATAATAATTATCTTGCAATTGTGGGGCAAGATTGGGAAGTTTATTTTTCCTTTTCATTTATATGCTGTGAAAGACATTAGGGATGGGAGTTTTTTGACGATTGAAATATTTTTCTGCCTGAGAGAGTATCTCACTTTTTATCTGTTAGAGTATCTCAATTTTATTCCCGTTCGTACTATGCTCTACATCAAGAGGTGCGTGTGTCCGAGCAGAATAAACATCTATAAACTTGAGCTTTTCAATGGCGTGCCACTTCATTGATATAAACTGCAACGTACAGGAATGGAAATTTTCTGTATTTTCGTACCAAAGGACTCACTACTGTTTGCTTATGCAAGGAACCACAAAAATTTCATTTTACACTCTAGCAGATTCCAGTCGTTACTGTCAACTACATTGATTTATATCTTAACTACAATTGACATTTCGTTTATGAATGACATGAAGAGTTGATTTTGATGTTTAATTGTGGTTGACATATAGTTCACTTCATTGATTTATCGTGGATGACAAATGTTTAGTTGTGGTTGACATTTAGTTGATGTACAGGATATAAGTTGTGTCGATTCATAGTTTCCAATTTTCTTCAGGGGGATCGACTTAGGATTAGACTACCCCAAACAGCGGAGTCCCCTAACAAATGGCTACCTATGGGTGAATAAAGGTAGATTTTTTGCTGTAATCTGGCACAAGTTACCTACAAATCTACCTCATAAACTCAAATAAAATAATAAACTGCGTGAATTGCGCTGGAAAATCATCATCCAAACTGATTAATTCAAGCCTGCAATTCGGTCTACAGTATACCATGATCTAGCATTTTGAATGGTTACAACAAAACAAAATGCATTACTTGGTTCATACACACTGAGAGCAAGCCTCAGCGCAGCAATAGTCAAAACTAGAGTTGAGGGGGGAAAATCGAAACACAAAAAGTTAGCAAAACAAAGTGCAACAATATTCTTCTACTCGCACTATTTCTGTTGCAATCGACGATTTCTTTCCGTTTAAAAGACCGGAATTCAGCATGTGAATTACCCATAGAACCTACAAACTCTCTCCACTGTGTCTTTACACATAAAACTGTTGCTGCAAGAAAAACAATGATCAACTCAAACCCGGCTAGAGAAAATCCAATAGATCAAATCGCTCAAGCATGTAAACCATTCCCATTGCAGTAAGATCCATTAGTTGCTATCTTAGTTGCATTCTCATAGAGGTGTGCCTTTATTGTCGAGGAACCATTGCTCATCCTGCATGTTTTTGTTGCACTTTTCTTCAACAAAGCATCCAGCTGGCCGGAAGCTGCAGCTACAAGTCCTGCCATGCAGAAGAAGACAAGTTTATAATTCCTCAACAATATTCTCTCTACCTCACAAAACACAAGTAAAAATGCTTTTCAAAGTGTACCTAAGAAAAGGGCGGAGGGTTTTCCTGGTCGTGATTTGAACTCAGGATGAAATTGAGCTCCGATAAAGTAAGGATGACTAGGCAGCTCAACTATCTGAAAGAAGAACAAGTTGATAATTAAACACCCGAATCCGAAAAACAAAATCAGAAATTGGAGCCACAATTATGATTAGTAGTACGTACCTCCATGCGACGTCCGCTTTCATCTTTCCCAGTGAAAGAGAGACCAGCATGTTCAAGTCGCTGAACCATATCAGGATTCACCTACACAAAATTAGGTTAAATTTGCCAGCATTACATCATATGAATCCATCACAAAGATGATGAGATCCATATTAATGGTTAGTAGCCGTATAAATCCAGAATTGGTGGTTTCTTGCACCTCATATCTGTGTCGATGTCTCTCATCAATAGAAATCCTATTTCCGTATCTGAAAAAATAATAGCCAGTTAGATAATTGTGCTATGTATAGGAGGGTATGTGCTAGGACTCAGGAATCAGGATAACCGATTTAATCTTTTTATGTATTTCCACAATTTCTTTAGGCCGCAATTGCAGTAAAGGGTTGGGTGATTTCAAATGGATTTAAAATCTTCCATGAAAAGTTAAATGACTCTATGACCTATCAGAACATGATCAATGGCTTTGAAATCCTTGGGGTTCAATCTTATCAAAGCCTTATTCTTTTTCCTTTCTTATAAACTCAAGTTATGAGGCAAAGATAAGAAGTCATACAACTTTGCCGATTTACTCGAAGTACAATGGAAGTATGTCCTCCTTGATCCTAGACGCATAGTGCCTCCCATATGCGTTTTTGAACCCTGGAAAAAATACCAACATGAGAACATACCAAATTGAGGAAATCTTCAGATATTTGATAAAGTCGTGACATCGTTAGATGTATTATTATTCCAAGCAATCTCAATATGAAAATAATTGCAAGTCAGGAATAACCTCTGGCATGAAAATAACACAAGGGTGTTGTGTGTTTGGAGCAAATTCTGTACTGTTTGCATCATGTAGTCCAAGGACAGACCGAGCAAATTCAATTACTGCAGTTTGCATTCCCAGACATATCCCAAGATACGGAACCTTGTTTTCACGGGCATACTTTGCAGCCAGGATTTTACCCTCCACTCCTCTGTCACCAAAACCTCCAGGAACTAATATTCCATCTGCCCCCTACATGGCAAGAATTCAATAAATAAATAAATTAATGAATAAACAAAGAAAGAAAGAAAGAAAAAAAAGAAAAGAAACTACTTAAGGGTAAACTATGCATATACATACCTTCAACAATTTCCAAGCATTTTCATAAGAAACAGGATTCTGCACAGAGAAACATCTAAAGCTGTAACATATTGCATCCAGGGATTAGACAACTAATAATAGCACGAAACATACCTCTTCTGCAGTAGCATCTTCAAGATCACTTGCGGGAACCCAATCTATGCATAATTTTCTATGGCACGCAACAGAAGCATGCAGAAGAGCCTGCAAATAGTTATTATTGCACTTAAGTATATTACCACCTCTCCAGAAGATATCTTTGATATTTAAAGAACACATGACATGACATGACACACGAATTTGGTGCAAAATAGCATCACACTGATGCCTAAAAATGATAGTTAAACCACCACTATGATCAAGCAGGGCCTCAGTAACGAAACTATAGAAAAATGAAGTCACCTTCAGCACAGAGAGATAAGAATCTGCAAGTCCCGTGTATTTACCAACCATGGCAATTCTAACCTGTGAAGAGAAGGGGGACAGCAATCATAAAATTCCAATGCTGAACACAAAGTATGTCAAAAAAAATTAAGACAAGAATCTACAGGCTCGTTCAACAGATCACATAGATCTGCCCTAGATGTCCATTCTTCGAGAGCAGGTTTCCCAGCATGACTACAAAAAAAAAAATAACGAAGAATTAAATCCACAGTGGTTAAAATTATGGACAAAGCGGACCATATGAAATATTCAGATCTCAATCCTAATTGAATAAAGAGTATAAAACAGTTGTTCGACGTACCTATTGAGGTTCAGGACCTTCAAAATTGCCTCATGGGCCTTCTGGTCCTAAATGGAAAGATAACAGTTTTTAATCATTGTCGAATTCAAACGTAAAACAATGCTGAAGCAAGGGTGCCGTTACTTACTCTCAAAAGCAAAGGCACATGCCAGATGTTGGAAACGTCATAGAGTGTGATTATATTATCTATCTGCGAGACATCAACTCTATCTTAAGTAAACTTTAAGAAAAGCATATTACTTTTTCTATACAAATATTGCAATGTTTCCTTAATTATGATACCTGAACATGGCAAAAACGAGAAAGCTTTTCTTTGACATTTCCCTCAAGTTCCTGAAGAATGAAGTTAACTTTAGCAAAATTTTCATGAAGTTTAGCATATGATCAGATGTCTTAAGCTTGGTTGGGCTCAAGTAGGCTAAGATCCTTTGGAAGAGAGAGGAGAGAGAGAGAGAGAGAGAGAGAGAGACCACTGTGCTGCGGCACGCTAAAATATTTGGTGTCAGACCCAAGCTTCGAAGTCCCCTAACACTGTGTTGAGTTGGCTTTGTTTTCTGTCCATGACAAAACCAAAGACATTTTCATGTTATTAGTTTATACCAAATAATCTATCAAAGCAAAAGACATCATGAACGTCCCCATAAAATCACCTGCTCACCAACAACAGTTACAACAGGCACTAAACTGACATGTATTAAACAAAAATTTCCAGCACCTGCAAAGGTCGATCAGCAATAACAAGAGGCACCAAGTTTAGCTTTTTCACGACAATAACAGAACTAAGGGTGCTCTATGGTGAGTGCACTTATGAAAAATATGCAAGAACACAATCTCACCAACTCGATATGAAAATTGTCCAAGAGCCTCGATGAAGGGCATCGACTCAATATCCCCTGCAGAAATAAAGAACTTCTTTTCAGAATATCTAAATTCCATAAAAATGATTATACAAGTCTCATTTGGAGAGAGCTTTGTTACCAATAGTCCCACCCAACTCTATAACACAAACATCAGCTGGGCCCTCTTTCCCATCCACTGGTATAGCAGCAACACGTTCAATCCACTCTTGGATGGCATCAGTTATGTGAGGCACAACCTGAACAGGGAGTTAGTCAGCAGAACTGAGTACTATGAAGGTACTTTATAACGAAGAAAGCGGACGATATGGAGCAACAAACCTGAACTGTTTGCCCTAAATAATCTCCCCTCCTCTCCTTGTCGATTACAGACTAAAAACACGAAAGCGATATCAATATAATGTTTTTGGGTAACAGAAGTTGGTACAAATTTGATGAACAGTACTTGCCTGGTAAATTTTTCCGGTCGTTATGTTATTGTCTCGTGTCAGTTTTATATCCAGAAACCGCTCGTAGTTTCCAAGGTCCAGGTCCACCTTCAGAAGGAAGTTCGAGTCATTACCATGAAGGAAATTCCAAACCCCACACCAAAATCTGGTAATATTAGAGAATTCTATGATATTTTGATAACCAGTAAAAGTTACTAGTGGATATATATACTATCTAAACTTTTCCAGCTAAAATTGGAAAACAACACTGAACAATCTAAACAAAGCCACCCCCAAAAAAGAACATGAATTGAAGAAGCAGAGACAAGCAAAGGACAAGCTTTCGTGTTCAGTATCCCAGCCAGACAGCTCACTGAATGAGGAATATGTAGAAAATCCCACAGCTGCAGCTTAAACAAAGGCCCAAAAAAAATAAAATAAAAAAATACCTCCCCACCATCATCGAGAACAAACACTTCTCCGTGTTCAAAAGGAGACATAGTTCCAGCATCCGTATTCAAATAAGGATCTGAATGCCAAAACAACAAAATCAGTTTCCGTCCGGAGATTGCAGAAGAAGAAGACAGAAGAAACGTACCAATCTTGATGGAAGTAACGCGAAGGCCACAGGCCTTTAGGATAAGGCCGATGCTGCTGGCAGTGACGCCTTTACCCAGCCCACTCACCACTCCTCCCGTCACCAACACGTACTTCATTTTTGAGGAAAGATAAATAAAGGGGCAATCTTTAATTACAAGCCTATCTGCTCAACTGTTGATACAAAGGGGAAGCAAGAGAAAGAAAGATGGAGAGAATGAATATGCCGAGAATGGGAAGAAAGAAAATTAGTAGCAATGGATGTGATAGGTAGATGAGGAGGAATGGCGGCTTTATAAGCCAGGACTCAGGAGAGTTAGGGAGGAGGAAATTTCAGGGTATACTCAAAATACACTCTTTTTCCTTTTCATTTTTTTTTTTTTTTTTTTTCATTTT